CCCCCGCCACCCCTCACTGCCCTGTGCGGGCTTCATTTACGTGATCTCCTTTTTAGCCACCTCAGTGCAAGTATCAGGAGGCCATGTAGAGAAGAAGGTCATGGTCTCTTATATTTGCTTCTTGCTCCACTGGGGTTCTATTTAATGCACTTTGTGCTTCATGTGGGGGGGCTTCTCTACATCAAATCATGGCCGTAAATAGCATGCAACATAGAGCCCAGTGTGTTTGTGGGGTCTAAGAAACAGATGCTTCCTGACTATCAGTTTTTCTTATTAGTCGTCCCCAGCTAGTGGAAACGTTTTCAGTGAAGCATGTGAATGTTTGGTCTCAGCCCCAAGGCCCGGCTCCGTGGCACAAAGTGGATAGCAGGTAGAACCTATGTGCAAAGCAGAAGGATCATTTGGTGAAGGCCCAAAGGCTTGGCAATGCCGATAACATTGAAAGGCAGCGTTTGGGTTTTCTTTCATGAGTGCTGAGGCTTTCAGATTCTTGTTAAGTGACTGTTTAGATGTGGTGTGACTTAAGAATCTTATTTCATTTTATTACTTTTCTTTTTTTTTTTAACATCAGATGGGTACTATGCTGAGGTGGTAACAAATTTTGAGGGAAGCACCTGAACCACAAAAGGATCTTATTCTCTTTCCTTTTTTTTTAAGTTTATTAATTTTTTTAATGTTTATTTTATTATCTTTGTGAGAGAGAGAGAGAGAGAGAGAGAGACAGAGCGTGAACAGGGGAGGGGCAGAGAGCAAGAGGGAGACACAGAATCTGAAACCTGACGCGGGGCTTGAACTTGGGAACAGTGAGATCATGACCTGAGCTGAAGTTGGACGCTTAAACCAACTGAGCCACCCAGATGCCCCTATTTATTCATGTATTTATTTAGAGAGAGCGAGAGCACATGGGAGGGGCAGAGAGTAAGAGAGAGAGAGAGAGAGAGAGAGAGAGAGAGAGAATCCTAAGTAGGCTCTGTACTCACAGTGCAGACGCGGGGCTGGAACTGACAGACTGATGTGAGGCTGGAATTCATGAACTGTGAGATCATGACTGAGCTGAAATCAAGAGTCAGATGCTTAATCAACTGAGCTACCCAAGAGCCCCTCATTGTTTTTTTGTTTTTTGTTTTTTAAATGATCCTATCAGAGGGGCGCTTGGGTGGCTCAGTCAGTTAAGCGTCTGACTTCAGCTCAGGTCATGATCTCACAGTCTGTGAGTTAGAGCCCCGCGTCGGGCTCTGTGCTGACAGCTCGGAGCCTGGAGCCTGCTTCCGATTCTGTGTCTCCCTCTCTCTCTGCCCCTCCCCTGCTCATGCTCTGTCTGTCTCAGAAATAAATAAAAACATTAAAAAAAAATTTAGAAAAAAGTTCTTGTCAGTGATTCTGCATACATGCATTTGTGTGTGTGGGTATGTGAGTGTGTGTGTGTGTGTGTGTGTGTGTGTGTGTGATGTAAACAAAAAGCCCCTAAGGGTTTATTTCCTTTTATGTAAAAAAAACAAAAAACAAAAACCAAAAAACCCAGATGTGGGTGGGCCAGGGCTGGTATGTCAACTCCATGAGGTAATCAGAAACCAGAGCTCCTTTTGGCTCTCTGGTCATCATCCTTAGCCCATGGGTTTCATTTTCTCAAGGTGTTTCATGGGGGCTTTTAAGGTCTAAGTTGACTGCTAGAGCTCCAGCCATCATATCCATGTTCCAGGCAAGGAGGAGGAAGATGACAGTACAAAAAAAATACTTGAGTATCTCCTCTATGGTGAGCAGTGAGAATTCAGTGAAAAACCAAATTGACTTTGGTCCTTGACCTCCTACAGTCTTAGGGTGGTGGTGGGGGATTCAGACCTTACACACATCACCACACCTAAGTATATAATTACTCATTTAGATTAATGCTATGAAATCAAATAACGGGACAAATAATAATAATAATCAAATAATAAAGAGAGAATGGTAGGGAACCTAATTTAGATGTAAGGTTAGGTCTTGGTTTTAGCAGCTTCTGGGTAGTTGGTCCCTTTGGACTTCTAGCCAGCCATCTTTGAGTACTGAATAGAGGATGGAAATCTTCATGGTCACCATTCACAAATACCCGTGGTGCTTCTGTTTAAGATGGCTGGGAATAAGTTGTGGTTTTTCTTGTTTCAAGACCAGCTGAGAAGAAGCGCATTGTCTCCAGCCAGGATGGCAAAATGAACTGTGTAGCTGTAAGTTTGAGGTTTTGGTCAAACCTTTATGATATTACTCTGTACAGAGTTTTGGTTATTTTATTTCATTTTTCCTTTCAACTACATTCCCCCTTTCTCCGTTCTTTTTATTTATTTATTTATTATTATTATTATTTTTTTAATTTTTTTAACGTTTTTTATTTATTTTTGAGACAGAGAGAGACAGAGCATGAACGGGGGAGGGGCAGAGAGAGAGGGAGACACAGAATCGGAAGCAGGCTCCAGGCTCTGAGCCATCAGCCCAGAGCCCGACGCGGGGCTCGAACTCACGGACTGCGAGATCGTGACCTGAGCCGAAGTCGGACGCTTAACCGACTGAGCCACCCAGGCGCCCCTCTCCGTTCTTTTTAAATGAACAAAATCTGCAAAAGAAAACCCCTCTTAGGGAATAATTACCAAAGCATTTTCTATTCTGAGACTCTCTTCTCTACCTCCTCCCTGTAGGAAGGTGAAGAGTATCTTGAAGAGAAGTTAGGAGGAAGTGTTGGGTATTCAGGGGGAATTTTTGGCTGATTAAAGACAAATTCCCAGTGTGACAAAAAGACAACTTCAGTGGACTAGGGGTTATAATGGACTTGAGTTTCTCATTCCCCCCCTTATGAGTAAATGTAACCCTGAGTAAGTCACAGAGAGGGAAGATTCCTCCATGTTATTCACTGCTGAATCCCCAGCCCCAGCCCTGTGCCTGGCACATCACTGGCCAACAAATACTTGTTCAGTTTTCTCAGTGAATGAATTAATAACCTTTTGGGAAAACGAAACAACTAGTCCCTGTATGATCTGAATTCAGCAATAGGATGGGGAGCCAGGGAGCGAAAATGTGGTGGCCCTCACAGTGCAGAGGAGGGTGCTGCTGGAGTGGGTCTGGAGACCAGGGGTTTGGCTTGCCAGGGTTGTGTCTGGGAGGCTGGGATGTTCATGGGAAGGAGTGGCTCTGAAAGGAGTGCTTTGTCTTCGCTGTTGCTTTTCTAGAAAGACCATTTTCTCTACAGAAAGCAGAAAACGGAAACGCAGCTGGGACCTCCAAGGATGAATGTGCCTCCCCCCTTGCCAGTACACATTTTTGAGCAACTAACTTCAGAGTCCATACCTTTCTGGAACCAATTTGACTTGGAACCATTACCTCAGGATCTGTTGAAGAAGTGAGTGTCCTGTGAGCCTGCGGTAGAGCCAGAGCACCTGCTCTTCTCCGAAGCAGAGAAGGGGCTAGTAGCCTGCTTATTCTGAGTAGGGACAAAACTGTCCCCTTACTTGTGCAGTGAGTTCTTAGACTTACCAGTGTGCCACCATTTACCAAGTACTTACACTTGCCAGGCCCTGTGCTAAATAAATAAGCACATTATGTATATTCTCTCACTTGAACCTCCATGAGAACTGTTACTGTCTTCTAACTTAAAAAAACTTTTTTTAATGTTTATTTACTTTTGAGAGAGACAGAGTGTGAGTGGGGGAGGGGCAGAGAAAGAGGGAGACACAAAATCTGAATCAAGCTCCAGGCCCTGAGCTGTCAGCACAGAGCCCGATGTGGGGCTTGAACTCACAAACCGTGAGATCATGACCTGAGCCGAAGTCGGACGCTTAACCGATTGAGCCCCCCAGACGCCCCCCCCACTTTTTGTGTTTAAAGTAAGCTCTATGCCCAATGTGGGGCTTGAACTCATGATCCGTAGATCAAGAGTTGCCTGCTCCGTGGACTGAGCCAGCCAGTCGCCCCCCACTCTCTTCTTTCTATAGATGAGTTATGGGTAAGTGGGAGGCAGAAGGGAAATGTGGTTTGGAGTGAGACAACCTTTGGATTTTGCCTTGAAACTTCCTGGTTTTGTGCATTGTGGTAATTTAACTAGCATCTTACATTTCATTCCCTTATTTGCGAAATGGGGGTAAGAATGCCTGTCCTCAGGGAGCTGAAAACACCTGTTGGTACAGGTATTTTCAGGCCCAAAGTGGAAAATGTATTCAGATTTGTGGCCCTTTTCATCTCTTTTTCCTCAGCCACACTCTCCAGGAACAACTGTCGCTGACTGTCTGGCTGTCTCTGTCCCCTTCAGCCTTTTGCCTGATGAAGGGAAAGCCAGGCCTTCTCTAGAGATGAAGACGCAATTGGCCATGATGAAGAAGAAACTTGCCCTGGAGAAGAGCCGACCTGACAGTGCCATTTCTGCAAAGATGTTTTTATCTGTGCACCGCCTCGCCCTGCAGGTAAGAGCCAGGGGGCGTCGGAGAGGGATGTCTAGATGCAAATCCCAACTCATTACTTTCCAAGGCTAGAGGAGGCGACTTTCTATTCTTTCTCTCTATCCTTCCATGCTGGACTCAAGCCCCATAGAAGGGCTGGGCTGTATGTAGTGAAAGCAAATGCATGGGGAGGGGCTTGAGGACAGCAACATTCTCTGTGTCTTCTGCACTTCCGCACCGTTTCCTCTCTCCATAGCTCCTGGTATGACGTTGCCCACACTGGGTTCTCAAAAAGTGCTCGTTGGCTAGATGGGTACCTGCATTTGAGGGATACATTTTGGGAAAAGGAAAGGACTTCAGTAGAGCTTCTCTTCTTCTTCCTTTTCCCCTTCCCCTTCCTCTCTTCCCGCCC